TTTTTCCCTATTTTTTTTTTCCCCTGGGAAGTTTTTCTTTTTAATATGTGAGTAAAGCAGAACAAATTCTCTCATGTTGTCTATGATCTCTTAATCTCAAACTCAGCACAGATACATAGCACTGCTTAATGGAGGCAAAGCAAGAGGCATTTGATTAAATGTTTGATCTCTGGAGGAATGCACAGGCTCTGTAGAGCACAGTGCACAGCTCACAAATATTTTGTGTTTTATTATTGATTAAAAGCAATTAAAATTAATAATTGGTTCAACTGATAAAAAGTACTTTTTTTTTTTCCCTGAGCTAACCCTGAAAAAGTATCAGATTGATTTGGTTGCAGAGAAATCTGGGATAGAAGTCATGGAGATTTACCTCTGTGATGGAATTCTCTCCATTACAAGTGCAGGGACCTTCTTTGCAGTAGGAACAGCCATGAGTTAGAAAAATTTACATGACTGCTGACACCCCAGCAGTCATTTAAATTACCCTGATTAAAAATAAGTAACCTACCGAACCAAAACTCTCAAGACATTATTTTTTTTCTTTACCACACACCTTTCACMGTCTGGACAAGGTGAATGCAGCATTTTTTTTAATCTGCAGTATAACATCTTCAATCTAATTGGAGAGATAATTATTTGTYAAAATTCAGGGAACAGGSTCATGGAATCACAGAATCACAGGAGMTTTGGGGTTGGAAGGGACCTTAAAGATMATCCAGTTCCAGCTCCCAGCCATGGGAGGGGCACCTTCCASTAGACCAGGTTACTCTGAGCTCATATATTGTATCACCACAATGTTAGCACAGACAAAGTTTTAGATAAATGTTTAACAAAAATGTTGGTCTTCTTTTGGGAACAGGCATAGTCTATTCTGAGGGGACAATGGAACAATGAGATCACCTATAAAGGACATGGTGACAATGAAAATTGAACTGAATGGGAAAAGCCTTCAATTTTTTTCAATGCGTGGCAATACCTTTGCTCTGGGGACAGACTGGGAGAGCTGGGAGAAGAAAGTGATCCAGAGAGACCTTAAAGCCCCTCCCAGTGCCTAAAACATCTTCAAGAGAGCTGGAAAAGGGCTTTGGACAAGGGCCTGGAGAGATAGGACAAGGGGGAATGATCTTAAACTGAAGGAGGGTGGGGTTAGATGGGATATTGGGAAGAAATTCTTGGCAGTGAGGATGGTGAGGTCCTGGCACAGAGTGCCCAGAGAAGCTGTGGATGCCTCAATCCCTGGAAGACTCCAAGGTCGAGCAGGGCTTGGAGTAACCTGACCTAGCCAAAGATCTCCCAGCCCATGGCAGGGAGTGGAATGAGGTGATTTTTAAGGTCCCTTCCAACCCAAACCAGTCTGTGGTTTCATGGTAAGAGTATTAGGACCCACAACATCAGGCTGCCACTGGGACAGGCTGGGTGTCCTCAGTTCTGGTGCAGCATCTCCACTTTGCTTTTTCCCCCAGCTCCTGCCTCCCCTCAGCATCCACTGGTGTCTCAGTTTCCCCAGAAAGGACAAAAGCACAAGAACAGCCAAGGCCACCACGCTAAACTTCTGTCCCGAAGCTTGTCAGGAGAGTTTCTCWGGGAATAGAGCGCGAACGGGGCTGGAGACAGTGATAAATTTCCCTTCTGAACAATCAATAAAACCCTCTCAGCCCCGCTCAGGCCCCTACCGTGGATGCAGGGACCATAATTACATTGTCAAGAAGTCGAGTTGCCCTGGCTGGCTGCAAGCCCCTCTCAAAGTGACGGGTGATTGACGGGCAGTTTATGGGTGGCACGCTCTGACTGGCAGGGGAGTTGGCTAAAGCCAAAGGCAACAGTGAAATTTCCCAGTCTGCTACAACTACCGGAGCAAAGGACTGCCACTCACCAGGGAATTGTGGGAAACCCTTAGTCATATTAACATATCAAAGTGAGGAGCTGACAGCGCTTACTAAACAATCTGAACTCAACCCAGAGCTGCAGAGCGTCCCCCAACGTTCCCAGTCTGAAAGAGAAAAGGAATTAAAATGCCCTCAGTCCTGTCTTCACCAAGACAGCCAAGAATTTGGAAACCTGCTTATTTAATGATTTTGATCTGAAATAACATATATATTCATGTATATAAATGTACCTGAAAAATGTATATTGCTGAGCATGTCAGCCTCTTTCTTATATATATATATATATATATATATATATGAAAAGGGCTGTCATGCTCAACAATTTGTTCTATACCACAGACCAGGCTGATGCTAAATTGAAGACAGAACAGCAGATTTTTTCTCAATGTAAGCAATATGAACCCAGTAAAAGACCCCACTACTTTCTGTCATGTTTTCTAGCCCTCTTCCACTGCTTTCGATGTTAAATTGGAGATTTATGGTTTGAATGAACAATAATCGCAGCCATGCACTGGGGCTGYGTGTTGTGCAGAGCTTGAAAGTGGTTTTATAGCTGCTCTGGATCTGTTGAATAAGAAATTGATATGAATTCTTGAATAAGAATTGGTTTTGAAGAATAATAGAAAAATGGCATTCAGTCTGGAGAAGGGTCCAAGGAGATCTTAGAGCCCCTTCCAGTGCCTAAAGGGGCTCCAGGAGAGACTGGGGACAAGGAATGGAGGGACAGGACAAGGGGGAATGGCTTCAAACACCAGAGGGCAGGGATGAAGATAGATGGGATATTCGGAAGGAATTATTCCCTTGAGGGTGGAGAGGCCCTGGCACAGGATGCCCAGAGAAGCTGTGGCTGCCCCTGGATCCCTGGAAGTGTCCAAGGCCAGGCTGGACAGAGCTTGGAGCATCCTGGGATAGTGGAAAGGTGTCCCTGCCCATGGAAGAAAGGAAGAATAGATGGTCTTTAACGTATCTTCAAACTAAAGCCTTTCAATAATGCAATAATTTATAAAAAACTGAAACCAAGAGGTGTTTCCACTAAGAGTCGAACCACTTTTCACTCCACTTTTCTCCATCCGGGTAAGATTTGGATTTCAGACCTCATCTTCTTGTTTTCCTAGGGAATGAAAACCCACTGGATATTATGGCACTGAGCAAAACAGATTAACTATCAGTGAGAAMAGACTCAGAAAGGCACTGATGTGGATGCCTGAGTTTACCTCTTTCCATCACATTGCCAAGGTAAGGCTGCAAAATTGCCCTGTTTGCCTTCAGTTTTGTGGGTGATGGAATCACCAAGTCTGAGATGATCCAGGCTTGGAGGGGAAAGGAGGAGCAGCACAGGAGGCACAGCTGCCAGGAGTTGCTACTGCCTTTTCCCACATTGCCAGAAAACAAAAAGCAWGGAAAAGTGAAGGCTTGTGCTGTAAATTGCTGACAATCTAAGGACAAAATCCTGGCTGACAAAGGTCAAAACAAGAATAGAAGGACACTTTTAAGTTGCAGAAGACACAGAAAGTGAAGCAGCAAAAGCTCTTATCAGGCAAATTCAAATCAGACATTTCAATACTTTGCTTTAAAAAGGAAAAAAAAATAAAAATGGATGATTAAACAAATTAATCCCCTGGAAAAAAAGCCTCTAAGGAAAAAGCTGGTTTCTGTTYCCCTTGACATCCTCAAAGACCAAGTCTTTCTGGAAGGCAAGCTTTAATCTAACAGGAATTACTGAGCTCAAGGCTGGGATAACTGTGTGAAACTCAATGGCCGGTAACGGACAGTGGATTCAGCCAAGATGCTCTAAAAGCCCTCCTTCACAGGATCCTCCAGGAAATGGGGGAGAAACACTCTGCAAAGCCACTTCACTGAAATTATCGAAGCCTTTTACAGACAGTAAATGACTGAGCCTTGCTGTGTCTCAATGAAAGGGTCAAGAGCATCTGACATGGTGTTGAGGTGCAGCCCCACCTCCCTTAGCCATGCCAGGAGCTCCTTCCCCAGTCTCTGCTCATCCCTCCTGATTCAGAAAAGCTTCTGTTCACTGTCTCCCCTCCAAACCCGACCTCTCCCGACCTTGCTCAGCTCCTGTGAGCTGGCAGGATGATGGCACAGAGGCACAACTCACTCCCTGCCTGTGCTCAGATGGTGCCCTCAGTGCCTGACATAGTTTTTTAACCAAGAGCCACAAAGTCTCTGTGCTCAGACAGCAACATTTCTGCCTGGAGGTCACAGGGTGGAATTTCAAGCCCTGCTGAAGGGTGTGAACGCCCACCAATAGGAAGGCTGAGAAACATGAAAAGAAGGAAGGGAGATGAGACATTCAGATGGCGTTGCTTTTTTTTCTTTTTTCTTTTTCCTTCTCTATGACACTTAGAGCCTTTAAACACAGCCACACAGAAAACTRTGTTGCACCAATGTTCTGATTCATGCTGAGTTTGGACTTGAATTCCATGTCCAAACTCCTGCACCAAGAAAKGGCCATTTTATACCATTCATCATCTCCAAATCTAAATTCTTCTATGCCCCCATATAAGAAGTATGTAAAGCTGCTATGGAGTGAATCCAGAGGAGGCCACAGAGATGCTCCAAGGGCTGGAGCCTGTCTCCTCTGGAGCAAAACTGGGAGGGCTGGAGGTGTTCACCTGGAGAAGAGAAGGCTCTGGGGAGACCTCAGAACCCTTGCTAGTGCCTAAAGGGGCTCCAGGACAGCTGGAAGGGACTTGGGACAAGGGATGGAGGAACAGGACAATGGGGAGTGGCTTCCCACTGCCAGAGGGCAGGGTTAGATGGGATATTGGGAAGGAAATTCTCCCTGTGAGGGTGAGGAGGCCCTGGTACAGGGTGCCCAGAGAAGCTGTGGCTTTCCTGGAAGTGTCCAAGGCCAGGTTGGATGGGGCTTGGGGCAACCTGGGATAGTGGAAGGTGTCCCTGTTCATGGCGGGGAGTTGGAACTGGATGGTCTTTAAGGTCCCATCCAACCCAAACCATTCCATGATTCTATGAGAACCATGACCAAAGTTTTGTCCATTAATTTTCCCTCCAAAACCCTTTTTTTTCCTTGTTTTCCTTGTTTTCTTTTCTGTTATTCGTTTGTCCTTTGCTTTTGASAAGAAATGTACTCACCATGAATGGAAAGGGTCCCGTTTCTCACTGCCAGGAACTTGACTCCATATGGAAATAAAGGTGGAGAATGGAGGCTTCCATGGAGATAAATGTGTGCTCTGTGATGGAAAGGGGCCTCAGGAGATCCCACCTGGAGCTTTCCCCCATCAGACACCAGGATGTAATGAGCATGCAGTTCTACAGGTCCTGGCCCAGTGAACAGGAGTTTGCCACCTGAAGACAAGAGAAGAATAAAATGCAATCATAGATTCAGTCAGTCATTCTGTCACAGTCAAAGGAACTGTGAGAAGTCTGTAAACAAAAGGGTTTTCAATAAAATTATGAGATCAAGGCTAAAATGTTATTTCATTCTGTGAAATTTCCACCTTGCCCTGTACTTCTCCCCGTGGATTTATCAACTCTTTACAGACCTGATAAATCCAGTCCATTTTTGATTCTACAACAGTTTGTATGTCTAGAACTGAGCAAAGCTGGGCCAACTGTCCAACCACAGTTGAAGGAAGCTGTGTTTGAAGCATCCCAATTTTAACCAACCTAGTCACTTAATGCTGAAAAGGGATATTCCTACTTGATTTTTATTATGTTATTTTTTTGAATACAAACAACTTGTGACTGGGAGAAGGAAGAGGAAAACAGCTTTGGAACATAAGGACTGGCAACTTGTTCAGGTATCAGTAGTTGATTTAATCCTGCAAACTCTTCCAGCTGCTGTTCAAAACCAGATGCTTCCAAACACAGTGTAAGACACGTCTCCCTCTTAGCTGGCTGAGAGTTGATCTCCCCATCCCATAAAAATCTCATTAAAAGCCCTAATTAGAGGTTAACTTTGCCTCAAAGCATGAGGTTTCATCTTTTTGCCAGCATTTTGTTGCTCCTAACTATTAGTATAACTGGATAAGATTTGCTGGTAATAAAGAACTGGGCTTTGGAATCTTTGTGATATTTGGTCTCAAMGACTTCTTGAAGCAATGAATTCCGTGGGTTAAATGCATAGTGCATGAAAAGCCATTTCCATCCCTTTTTTTTTTTGTTTGACTCAAGCTCTTCAGTTCTGTCAAATCCCTTGTTCTTGCCTCGTGTGAGCAGGAGATCCCAGTCTGTCACCTCGGGATGGTTTATTCCATTATTTCCTTTCGTATTTCCTCTGAAGGACACTGTCACTTTCTTTACAATGGACGTGGACTCTCATTCATTTTGTCACACTGCACATGAAATATGCCTTCCTAGGTCAAGCCACATTTCCTAGGAGCCACTAGGAAATTCCCAAACTCTGGAAATGTCACACCTCTTAMAAAGGATCTACCACACTTCCTTTTGGTGAAATAGCAGATAACTGCACCAACTCATCCCAATGGTCAGCTTGCTACTGG